AAAAAAAAAATCTATCAAATAACAAGAATAGAAAGAAGAAAAGGAAGTTGAACAAGTGAAAAGGTACAAAAGAAGTCTGGTGCTGTAAAGCTGCCTATGGCCAGAAAGATGATACTTAAATCTGGTAGTTGAATTTATCTGAACACAAAGATCTTCCCAGGAAAAACTGAGAGAGGCTTGTTCAAGATGTGCCCATGCAAAGCTCACTGCCCATGCAAATCTGAGTCTGGCTGGTTGCAATGAGCACTGGATGGGGCCAGGGAGATACGAAAGAGGAAGGGTATACGAATGGCCTTCCCTGTGTTGAGTTTTGAGCTGGTGCTCTGGGTCTCTCAGCTCCTTGAAATGAGGGCAGAATTGATTCAAATTAAGGTACACTGTTTTCTCACACGAAAGTGTGCCTGGGAAGTGCCTTTAAGCTAGAATAAAACACTGCAGACGAATCCTGTTCTCCGTTTTCCCCCCAGATAGTTTGCTTTAATCCGTGGCGGGCCTCAGCTGAGTGGCTTTGCAGCTCAGCACGTGGCTCTGTTGGTCAAGGGAGGTGGGTGTGCGGGAGCGCACGCACGCCGAGGCCGATGCCGATGCCGCACCTGGGGGATTAGCTGGAATTTCGTGGAAGCAAGCCTGTCTCGCTCTAACTAATATGATAAACTATTAAGCAAATACATTTTTCCGCCTTTAAAACTGCTTCATTGGGGATTTTAAGAAAAGCAGAGTTGGCAGAAAGATTAAAACAGCGCATAGCCCTACTGATTGATGTATTTCATTACAGCAGCATAAGAGATTACTTGAAATTCTCAGGCCCTTCTGAAGCAGCCAGGTTCCCCTTTCCTCACACATTTTTTATTTTGAAGCAGAAGGTATTTCTGGTTAGGGCACGGCTTCTACTTACGCACACCCATGCACACATGGCCCCGCTCGGATTATGTAAGATCCTTAATTCTGACTGCCTTGATTTGCAGCCAGTGTGTTGACAGGAAATTAGTTTGTACCAGTACGTGCCTTCTGAGAGCGATTTCTGTGCAGTTGTGATGATGACATCAATGTGTGGAGGTCAGGTAGAGCGGGGGAAAGGCGGCCGCTTGGCTGGAAGTTGGTTTTGGCAGCGCGTACGTGGGACTGGAGGGTTAATCATCATTTGTTTCTGTGACTGCTGTTTGCGTCAAAAGCCCAGGCAGCCTTAATGAACATTGCTTGTGTTAATTTGAAACCCTTGCTGGGAAATGATGGGAAAAGGGGAAAATGCATACCTGCATGTCACCCTTCAGATTAACAGCTCGGGCAGCGCGGGGGCTCTCGGGGCGCGCGATGCAGCGTGGAGCTGCTGGCAAAGAGACCTTGCTGTAAACCTGCGCCTGCCTGTGATTTTATAGGGTTTCCTGCTAAACCAAGAGCTAATTTGCTGTACACTCTGTGCTAAATACAGTGAGCTGTGTACGTAAAAGCACTAAAACCCAAAGTTCTGCTGTTTGCAGGTATTTTTGTTATTGATAGGTTTTGCTTATATGTTTTTAAAAAGTCTTTTTACTCCACTTTTAACGGATAATGGTAAAGCCCCTGCTTCTGCATTGGTATCTCCTTCCTCGTGGGAAATGTGTCTCATTATAGCCTAACTGAGAAATCTGAATCACTTTGCCATGTAAGTCGCCCTGTAACAGTGGAGTTTTGTTTAGGATAAACTTCTTTCTTGTTGTCTGAAGCTTGTAAGAGAAATGTTTATATTGGGAAAGTTGAAGTTTCCTTTCTAGCCACCTCTTTTAAAAGCAAATACTTCTTCTCCATTTACTTAAAAAGCAACAACAAAAAAAGCTTATTGTCTTTCCCAGACTTTCGTAGTTTCAGATCATCTTACATGAATTTAACATTGTGGTCCCAATTTTACAATTATTTTTTCTTTGCTTAACTTCTTCCTCTGTGCAGTCCATTGGGTATAAAATTGAATAAATGTGAAAGTTATGCAAGATGGGAGGCCTGAATCCCTGCTGGGGCTAGCTTATGTTACAAAGTTGATTTTAATTTCCTCTAAGTTCCCTGTTCTTCGAAAAGCATTTACTATCCTTGTGCAACACCTCAAGTGTTTTATCATGTTCAGCCCGCTACAAGTCAATGGGGCTGTGACTCAGGGGTATGTTAGAAAAGTCCCTATATGTCCTGGGAGTTTCTAACATGGCTGTAGCAAACCAAAAAGCTGACAACTGGTAACCCAAGTCCCTTCTCTACTATTTCTTAGCAACCGAAATATTCTGTGAGCCAGCATTTATTATAGTTCCTCAAGGATATTTTTCAGACTAGGTCTGAGGAGTTAGCTGTTTTGTTCTAGAAAACGACAGAAACAGTCGTAGCAAAGGAAAGTGAGAGAACTTACGTGGAGCAAATACGGTGTCATTACAGCTGCTTTGGCTCTGAGACGTTCAGCAACTCTGGTTGTCAGAGGGATGTGGAAGGTGTATGACGCTGCTGCAACAATAACTAGGTGCAACTGTATATGTATGTTCTGTGCTACACCTACTGGAAATGGAGTGTTTATGTTTAAAAATCAGAAATGTCTTTTTGGAGAGTGATGTTTGGCTGTATAGTTATGTTTTGTTTGGGCATGTAGGTATATCTGTCTAAACACTTATAAATACTTCAGAAAAAGTGCTTTCAAAACATTTTGAGATGAAAATTATCTTGATTCTGTGTACATGGGGATCATAGAATCATAGAATGCTTAAGGTTGGAAGGGACCTCTAGAGGTCATCTAGTCCAACCCCCTGCACACACAGGGTCACCTAGAGCACGTGGCACAGGACTGCGTCCAAGCGGGTTTTGAAGATCTCCAGAGAAGGAGACTCCACAACCTCTCTGGGCAGCCTGTTCCAGGGCTCTGGCACCCTCACTGTTA